GATATGAAAACTTCTTTTGTTGCCTCAAATATAGATATAAGTCGTGTTCAATATATAAAACACAATACAAAGCCTCAGAGGATTAAAGGCATTAGAAAGAATCAATTAAAACAAATATAAATTTTAATTCATTTGTTTTGCAAATTCATGCAAACATTTATATAAATATTTTGATTACTTTAATTAAACAATTATTTTAAACATTCAAATGAAATGATTTGGTTTTCTCACAAATATTTTCTTTTCTATTTAGTCCATCACTTGATTCATGCGCTTCGGTATGTATTATATAATACTTTAATAATATAATGCTTTTTATATTGTAATCTCTGATTTTGATTATATAATCCGTAAAACTAAAACAAATATAATAAATACATTGCTTCCATGTATTGATTTGATTAATCTTTGCTTTTTTGTCAGCAATTGTTTATTATTGTCTATAAAGTTCTCAAAACTAATTAGAAATATAGAGAAAACTTTAATTTTCATTAATAAGAGCAAACATTTCACTGACAGATTGTATGCGTGTTTTATATGTGAGACAACTCTGTAGGGAAGTAAGCATATGCTGTACCACAAGATAATCTATAAATACTTGTTAGATATCGACACTAGTGTTGAAATATCGAAAAAAATATAATTAATTTCAAAGAAGCAAAATAAAAGTTTTTTCCATTAATTAGAAACACATTCGACAGGCCTATAGACGACAAACTCTAAACCAAAACATATAAATAGACCAAAAATTAGCATAAATTTGTTTATGTTTTATCATAAAATGTACTTTTTCATCTCAATCTCGCTTTGATTATATTGAATGCTCTGATTATAATGAAATTCACGCTCTCATTGCAAAATCGCTATTAATTTAATACAAGTTTGGAATTTAAAAGTTTAGAGCAATTTATATGTTTGAGTGAAATATCTCTTTAGAGATCCGCATAATAATTATTCTCTGAATTATAACAAAAATGTTTTATTTCTCTTTTGCAAATAAACCAAAGCTTTGAATAAGTTGTGTTTAATAGCCTTTTGCGAGCTTTTAGTCCTTATTTTCTAAATGTGATTCAATTATGTATTATAATAGAGATGTGTTTGCGATTATAAGTCAAGGGCTAGTTATGTGAAACATAAAATCATTTAAATATTTTCAAAATTATTTTTTCAAACTAATTATTTATGTCCCTTAAGAGCTATGTCAAAACTAGTGTACAATTTATGAATAAGAATTGAAATGTAAAAATTAATTCATTAACTTTTGATTTTGTTTAACATTAAATATTAATAATTTGATACATTGAATATATTTTTAGTTTAAAAATATGAAACATTAATGTAAATTAATTTGTTTGAAAAGATTGCAAGCCATTGATGTTCCGGATCAGACTCAGGCCGGAGAGAGTATAGAACTTACCTGTAGTTTTGAATTAGACAATGAAAAGCTATATTCTGTCAAATGGTGAGTCCTATCATACCAATGAAGTAATAAATAATATAATTTACTTTATTTCCATTAAAGGTATAAAAATGATGAAGAATTTTACCGTTACGTTCCGGCAGACTTTCCTCCCGGTCTATATATAATGATAAATAAAATAAAATAAGTAAAAAAAGTGTAAAATTAACGTGAATTGTATGGTCCGACAGCTCAATACCTGCCGATGCCGGGCATAAGAGTGGATTTGTCGCGATCGGGACCGCACTCTGTCTTCTTGAAGAACATAAACCTCAGTTCTGCAGGAGTTTACAGGTAATCAATACAATGTTATACTTAATTCATACATTAGGCTTGTTTTATGAGAAAAACGATTATTAAGCAATAAATCTGGCATTTAATTGTGTAATATATAAGTCATAAATCAGTCGTGAGTCCATTTGGACAGACATATCATGAGTGCTGTGACCAGCAGTTCGTCTAATTTAATATATTATAGAGAAGTGTAGTTCACTTATTGAGTATTGTTTGCAACCAAATAAATGTCTTTATTGAAGAGATACTCCTTTCCAGTCCTTTAGGAATATCATAAATGAGTGAATATTATGTTCTTTCCATTTATCTGATAAAACATAAAACATTTCTTTCTCTTAAATATCATTTAGACATTTGTTGAAATCTTTGCTAATTTTCTGTTTTTTCACTAAAATATCGATCTTTCTATAAAGTAGTAAATTAACAAAAAAACAGAGTTTATTTAAACATGAAAAACATATTAAACAAATTGCAAATTTTATAGATATTAAAGTGTAAAAATAATTGGAGTTAGTATGCTGATTAAAGTGATTTGCAAATTAAACAAACTCTTTATTATTTGATAATATTAATATAAACTACAATGCAGTACAGTAAAATATTATAAAATGTTTGTATTCATAATGTTAACTGTTTAAACACGTTTACAATATGAAAATACAGATTTTCTAATAACTGTATTATTAAATTCAAGTGAATTTGTTTATTATGATAATATTTTTATAAATTCAAATAAATTACCATAATTAGTACAAGTATTTGTTTAGTAATTAACAGAACAATTTTATAATTAATAATAAGCGAGACAATACCTTTGAATGAGTAAACATAGTCTAATGAAAACATAAAACATTTACCGACAAAAGAGTTAAGTAATAAATGGAGTTATTATATCATAGATTGAATTCATTTCCATTATATAAAGATTGTTATAATAAATAAAACAACAAAAAAGATTTTAGAGAAAATCAAAGGGAAGTATCAGAAGAATAAAAACCATTTTGACTTCAAATAAATACTTTACTTAACTTTAAACGACTTTTTAAATTTTGATTTATTGTTTTAGTGAAGATCTTCGTAGTATTGAGTGAATTAAGTGTAGCCAAGAGGGGCGGCCACAGAGAGGAATAAATTTATGTTTTCATTAGACTATGTTTACTCATTCAAAGGTATTGTCTCGCTTATTATTAATTATAAAATTGTTCTGTTAATTACTAAACAAATACTTGTACTAATTATGGTAATTTATTTGAATTTATTTTTACTTAACTTTAAACGACTTTTTAAATTTTGATTTATTGTTTTAGTGAAGATCTTCGTAGTATTGAGTGAATTAAGTGTAGCCAAGAGGGGCGGCCACAGAGAGGAATAAATTTATGTTTTCATTCAATTTCATCGATCCGATCACAACATCTCACAAATGATTTCTTTAAACAAAACGATTACAACGAGAAAAAGTGCACAAATAATATATTCTGTGTGTCTTAACGTGTGAATCTGTCAAACACTTTCATTTATATAATCAAACTTTTGAATTATTCTCCAGAAATAGAGTTAGAGTTAAGCTTAGGATTACCTTTTGATTCAAATACGTTGAGTCTATTCATCATTTTTGATAAATACTCGTTCACTACAAATTTATTGCAATACAAAGGGAATATCAGAATATAAATTACAATTTGATAGCACTGTTTGTAGCTTTGTTTGATTGTGTCGACCAATCCTTTGTATGGGAATAACATTTGGAAATTAAAATAGAGCTGTAATACGAAAAATAATACATTTTTTGGATTTAACTGACATTTGACATAAACAGTCATTTTTCTAGCAATCCTTATCTTAAGCACATTCCTATTAAATGAATTGAAGTTTTGTGTTATTTTATACACACATTTATTTATTCATATCCAAAATGAAATATCTCTATAATAACTTTATGTATTTAATAAGGCATTAGAATTATATTGTATTTTTATATTCATATAATAATATGTTGTGATTTACAGTAAATATCATAATATAAAGCATCTAAATGAATGCATACTCTTATATAAAACCAAATCAAATATCTCTTATTAGAGAAAAGCTTTTATCGATTAATATATTATTTATTACTTTTAAACATTACGTTACTCTTTATAGAAAACTAATAACAAAAATTAAAGATATGTATAAATAATATGCAAAAAAACTTTTACTTTTATGAATCATAACAACAAGATCTACAAAATAACAAATATATTCGGTATATATTTATTGATTGAGTCAATAAAACAAATTATGATAATTACAAAAACGCTTAATGTTATAAATTGGAGAATTTAGGCGTTGAATTGAATTAATTGAATAGATTTTAAGTCAATTCCCGAAATAATCTAATATTAAAGAGCTTTTATTTGTATTGCAGATGTGAAGTGTCGGCCGAAGCTCCAGGTAATCATTGAATTACTCACTGTTTTCTTGTTTCCCTCTCTTTTATATATTAATTTCATTTTGCGATAGAATTCACGACAATTGAGGAATTCAAAGAAATGAAAGTAAGTTTTGGTGAAAAACTACATTTTCATTGCATTATAGCCCGACTAACGGGAAAAAGATTTTTATATTAAATACAAATAATATGACAAATGTATAGATTTTATGGGCTAAAAAAGAAAAATAGATTCCCATTCGCGATTCAAGCTATTATAAAATTATTTGTGAATACATGCGATAAAGAACATACAAAAAACATATTTATCCAGTGTTTAGAGTAAAGTGTATAACAATATTGAAGTCTTGACCAAAGACTATCTCTTTTGAAGGATCTTATGAATGCATACTCTTATATAAAACCAAATCAAATATCTCTTATTAGAGAAAAGCTTTTATCGATTAATATATTATTTATTACTTTTAAACATTACGTTACTCTTTATAGAAAACTAATAACAAAAACTAAAGATATGTATAAATAAGCAAAAAACTTTTACTTTTATGAATCATAACAACAAGATCTACAAAATAACAAATATATTCGGTATATATTTATTGATTGAGTCAATAAAACAAATCTATGATAATTACAAAAACGCTTAATGTTATAAATTGGAGAATTTAGGCGTTGAATTGAATTAACTGAATAGATTTTAAGTGAATTCCCGAAATAATCTAATATTAAAGAGCTTTTATTTGTATTGCAGATGTGAAGTGTCGGCCGAAGCTCCAGGTAATCATTGAATTACTTGTTTCCCTCTCTTTCATATATTAATTTCATTTTGCGATAGAATTCACGACAATTGAGGAATTCAAAGAAATGAAAGTAAGTTTTCGTGAAAAACTACATTTTCATTGCATTATGGCCCGACTAACGGGAAAAAGATTTTTATATTAAATACAAATAATATGACAAATGTATAGATTTTATGGACTAAAAAAGAAAAATAGATTCCCATTCGCCATTCAAACTATTATAAAATTATTTGTGAATACATGCGATAAAGAACATACAAAAAACATATTTATCCAGTGTTTAGAGTAAAGTGTATAACAATATTGAAGTCTTGACCAAAGACTATCTCTTTTGAAGGATCTATTTCTTTGTGAATTTCAAATATAATTCGATACAAAAATCTATCGATAGAGAGAGAGAGAGAGAGAGAGAGAGAGAGAGAGAGAACTCATTGCTTAGAAAACGGTAGACTTATAGCACTTTTCCATTACTATTTCAAAGGTTCAGTACTACAGTGCTGTGGACTAACTCTCTCTATAATAAGAGAGAGCTTTTCGTTTACAGAAAACTCTTGTTAGAAATGAATTGCGAAAAGAGATGGAAAAGAAAAAGTAGTTTTTGTGATAAAACTTTCGCTTTGGAGCCGATAATATCGAAGTTTAGCTACTGTTCTGTAATAACAAAAATAAGAGAAAAAACCTATTGCCATATAATAACACTGTTTTGTTTCATTTCCGCTCCCAAACCGAGAGTTAGGGTTTAGATAATAACATATTAATTGAATTAAAAATTTTACACCAAATCTATCACTTCGTAATTGATTATTGTTTTCTCTCTATTAACTATACGTTCATATTATTAATCAAAATAAAATAGCAATTTATTTCATTCACAAACAATTGATGTCATAATTAGCAAAATAAATGACACCTTTTATATAAACCACGGAACAATTCATAAGATTATTACAAATACCTTAACAAATGTATAAATATTTATCATTTTATCTATACATAAATCTATGAATTAGTGTTGACTTTAATATTCTGTGAAATAATAATAGGCTTTTCAGTGGCACTCAAATTATAACTTTTCCCAAAACAATCACTTATTATTAAATAAATTATACGTTACGCTATTATCATATTGCACATATTTCTAATTTAACTGAAAACGTTTAGCATTATATGTAAATTTTATTGTCTTATTCTCAATGGAGTTATTCAATGATTTTTTGCAGGTATTCGGTAAGTGAATGATTAATTAGTCCAACGAATCACTGAATGAATGGGAATTAAGTTGAGATTGCATTGAATGAGCGCTTTATTGAATGTCTGTCGCAAAGACATTGAAAGACCTAATAATGGACTCCAATTGATATGATTCTTACAAATGAATTGATGTATAAAACAGTGCTTCCGAGCGAAGGGCCAAAGATTAGCGGCAGTCGAGCTAATTATGGGATTGGGAGTCGTGTTGAACTGAACTGCACTTCAGCCAAAAGCAAACCCGGTTTGCATTCATTTTTACATTTATTGTGTTTGCCTCCAAAATATTTAATTAATTTAATGCATTTTAAATCAATTACAATGGATGGTGTAGCCGCACTATTGCACTGGTATATTAATGAACAGCCGGTAAATTAAACTTTTAATTAAGTAAAAACCGATTCATTTTTCAAATAAACGCTTTCGTGTTTGGCGTCCGTTTATATAACATTTGTATTTAACATATATTTTTCTTTCTCTTTCAAATATCCATATATTAAGGCTGAGAGTGAATATGAGTTTGAATCGTCGACAACAGTGCACTCCAATGGCTTGGAGTCCTCATCACTGGGACTCAGATTTATCGGTGAATACTATTTATTATTAAATACTTTTATAGCTATTCATTTATATTTACCTTATTATCAATCCTATGAATGCTTGCCGTCAGTGACTTTTTTCTTAATTAAGTTATATTAGACATCATTATCTCGAATATAGTGTCGGAAAAGTTTATTTCATTTTAAGCATAAAAATAAATCTGATTTTTAAGTCCAAATTCTTCCTTAGAGTCACATTAATTTCAATACAAAACTATATATAAATATATATTTCTCTTACAAGTAATCGATTTTTCAATTGAATTCAATGGCTTTTATTTTAAAGCAATATTTATATATTATGTTATGTCTAGTATATTATATCTGTTCAAAAAACAGATAATACACTGAAAATGCGATATGTTTTTATATTTTAAGTCTCCAAAATTAATTTGCTTATAAAATAAAAAATAAAAATTGCATTAAAATTGCCTCAGATTTAGCCGACAAAGACGTATGGATTAGCGCTTATATTAATGTCAAATCTGTCACAGAATATAGATCTGGAATACATTCTTGTCATTTGACTCTTCCCATGGAAATGACTTGAATATGAATATACACAACATATTTACTATAAAATCTCTTCAAAAAAGTCTATTTTCAAAATTTGAATCCAATATTTTATATGAAAATCTCTTGAATTTAATAAAGTATGAAAAGAGTATACCTTTAGAGACTTGATCTCATGAATAAATTTTAATAGTATTACTATTTATGACTCAATCAATGTTAATCACATAGAGATAGACATTTTTAAAGGATTTTAAAAAGCCATGCATTCAATAGCCTATTCATTACAAACCATTAACTAATCTAAACGGATATAAAGACCATTTGTCGATATTTTATGGATATTTTAGATCAACAATAATTATTATATCAAATAAATGTTAAGCAATATTTATGATCATTTTTCTATCAGATAATCTGCTAATGATTTTGACTTTTGATATCTGCTTGCAGTGACTGAAGAACATTTCCAATCAGGAAACATGAAATTAAAATGCACCGGTAGGTCATTTGCAAATTGTTAGTCGTTATAAAATGCCATAATTTATATGTTCTAAACGCAATGCTATATAAAATAGCGTAACATAGTTTAATGTTTTTTAAATAAATTCCAGTCTAAAGTTTGAGTATAACAAAATATATAAAAACAAAATATTTAATATTATGTTATATTATTTGAGTTTGTTCAGTATTACGGTAGACAGTATATACAAGTATATATAAAGTGAAGCAACAAAATATGTTATTTAAGATAAGATGTTGTTTTAAAATAGTAAATAATAGTCTCGTAGAGTAGAGTATGTGTTAAATGACATGAGATGTGTATCTGTATCTCAAATGTGATGTAATGTTTGCGCCGAAGCGACCATATCTCGGATGTACACCATGTCTAACGAGGAACTGGTGTTTGGTGGACGTCAGCAATCATCCCGATTTCACATCCCTGATCCTCTAAATCAAGGTTTAACACCAAACCACTAAACCAGTCGAGTGTTTGACTTACCGTTTGTTTGGTATTTATATTAATAGCCACTTCATCGTCATTCCGGACGCCAAAAGTCTTCAAAGCATATCAACTGTTTTATTCAATTTTACTTCAATTGCTTTTATGGCAACATTTGTATTCCAAACGATTGCTATTCTGAAAACATATTACTATTATAGATATAATTATAAACAGAGAGTTATATTCAACTCATTTCGATTACATTAATATTTAATAAGAATATAAATATGACAGTAGAGAGAGAGAGAGAGAGAGAGAGAGAGAGAGAGCTAAAAAAGTTGAACTGAAATTTTGAACTCACAAAAGGGCTCAAACTTTTTGAAAATAATTTTGGTTTTTTGAAAAGACAAAAAGTTATTATAATTTATTAGAGAATATCTTATTAAATAATAACAATCATAACGTTATTACGGATGGAATTGTGATAAACATAATGTAAGATAAAAATTAAATAAATTCAACAAAATTAATGAAAAAAGTTTTATTGTATAATACTTTGAATTAAAAGATTAATTTCACACACAAAAATAACAGATTATACCAAATTGAACAATTAATTCATAAAACACAATCATTAATTGTGCCTAAATATCAGTCATAATTTTGATTATTATATTGTAGTCTCAATTTTATTGTAAAACTATCGGAAAATGCAATTTTGAAACTCATTATTGGATTTAGTAATCACTCATTCATTTCCATTTACACTAATATTATTATAACATTGTATTTTATAATATAATTATCATTTTCAATGTATTTATTAGATGATTTCAATGTTTAATGTATATCACTTCATAAATATAATTTGTTAAAATTATTTAATTTAAGTTACGATTCATTGATTATTAAAAAAATAAAATCTCTAAATTCTTCAATATTTATTGAATACATAATTTAAGTCTTATTTAACAATTCGCGATTTGAATATATTTGAAATTAAATTGCAACTAAACTCAAGTTTGAGATTATTATTAAATTTAAAGTGAAGTTCCTTTAAGAAAAGAAACACATTTTTGTTGTTTATTGTGAATGCAATTCCCTTTCAAATGATATATCGCTTATTTCACAAAGTATTGCACCGATAGTCTGCACATAACTAATAGTAATAACGATTTGTTCAAACACTTCACGTCTATTTTCTAATCTAATTCTGAATTTAAAGTCAAATGTGACTAAAAAAGTATCTCAAATACCGGAATATATCAGTATTTTTCTTGTTTTTAAAATTCCAAAAGTTTTTACAAATTTATTTTGACTGAAAATAAGTTCAAATAAACTTTCGCTAAGAAAACTAACTATTAATTGAAATCATGCTTTAATGAATAATTTATATGCTTCTCATTTGAAATCAAAATCATTTTTTCAAATTTAATTAAACAATAAATTCTTTGGAGTGTATGTTCAACAATTCTTTATAATTATATTTATAATGAAATATAGAGTATATTTTACAAAATAATGTATGTTGACTTATCTGCTTATTAGGATTTTTTGTTTAATAATTATCAAAATATAAAACAAGAGAAATATTAATTTGTGTGTATATACTATAATGATAATAATTTGATTACAGAGTTTTTAAATGATATGTTATGACATTCTTGGAGGGAGAGAGTGATCCCAATGTATGCTATAAGTTATGAAAGTAATGATAAATGTGTCTGATATGAAAAGATGCCTAATAATGGCTTAAATGAAATGTATAATCAATTTTGTGTTTAGTATCTATAATAAAGCAATTTTAAGTAATTTATATCCCTATAAACTGCTGATACGATATTTTCAAACTCATTTTATATCATTATTTACTTCAATGTTTATTTTTAGAGATAAGGCTCGTACTAATCAGCCCACAAATTACTAATTTATTAAATGCAAAGATTAAATCACTTTATTTGTAAAGTAATATTATATCAAATATTAATGATTCAAATAATAAAGGGTAATAAAAATGTATACAACATTTTGCGTCTCAAACTAAAATTAGTATGCTTAAGAAATATTTAGTTCAAGGGTTAAGTATTGTATAATATTATATACAATGTGTCAAATAAAAAATCACTCGAAACCACATTTTTATTTTATTTTTTATTTATAAATTTTATTAAAAATTTAAATCAAGCATTTATATTTGTAACTATTCGGAGTTTTCATATTTGTTTTATCTGATGTTATAATTACTATATTTATAAATTATAATATTTAAGTAAATACAAAAACTTATTTATATACAGAATAAAAACAAACCAGTTTAGAAAGTTATAAATAAAGACAAAACTGAATAAGCATTGAAATCCTTTTTCCTTGAGAAACACTTTTCATATAAACTAAAATTTATAGGAACTCTTTACAAACTAATTATGATGTATTGATACTATTATATTAAACAACAAACCCCCATTGAGTCCTTTGCCATCATTTCAGTTAAACATCAATAGTAAGTAAACCAAACAAAACAGCATTAGATGCTTGTTTGTGTCATTTTAATATGTTCTCATAATTTACATACAATTGCATTAAATTTTCATTTTTCCCAAAAATAAGTTTGACTTTCGAGACAAAAAATATTGATTCAAATGATTTCAAAGTTAGAGAAAATAATTTAATAACTTTAAAGGAGAATGGCTTTAATCCTATAAATCTTTTTTTGATTGCAAAATAAAATCAATAGACCTCAAGTGGAACCAAGAAAATTATATTAAAAGTTTATTTTGTGGTTTTATATAAAGATATTTCGAGAATACTAATTTATAATTGAAATCACAAATAAATAATATGTCTTAAACCAGATTAGTGATAATAATCGGAAATACTAACTGATTTAATGTATGATTATTGTCAACGACAAAAATTAAATAATAATTAAATGATACAAATTATAGTCACTTCACAGTTAATTTAGTTTTTTATAACATGTTATACCGTAATTATTAGGGAATATGAAGTTAAATCAGATTAAAAACTAAAAGTTAATTATAAAAAGTTTTAATTTATTAATTACAGTTT